AGTGGGGCCTCCTTCGGACCCCTCATTCCAGCCAGCCTACAGAGCAGGCCTAGGGTGGAGGGGCCCAGGCCTTGCAGATGGAGCTGGGAGTGGCGTGGGAAGGCCGGGGGCAGAAAGACTCCACCAGGCCACGCCCAGAGCTGCTGACAGTCCCAGGATGACACACAGGGATGTGGCCAGGGACCACTTGGAGGGACAGACAGCTGGGACAGGAGCTGGCCCAGCCTGGTGGTGCCAGCTGCAGTGGCCACCTACCCGTGCCCTTGCCCACCTGCCCTCCCACCCACCCCCTGCCACCTATCCCTATGCCCAGACACCTCCACCCACCCATCTGCTCACCCGTCCATGCCCTCCACCCATCACCTACATACCCCACTCATCCACCCACCCACATGCCCGTCCATCCACCGTCCACCCTTCCACCTGCCCATATGTCCATCTACCCAGCCACCAGCCAGCCAGCCCCTCTGTCCAGGCTGGGCTCTTGCCATCAGGAAATGGCAGCAAGCAGAGTCTCTGCCTGATACTTGGGCTCCCACTTCAGCCTTGGGAAGAAGGCTGGACGCAGATGATGAGGATGGAGAAGGCAGCCGGGCGGGGCGGGGCGGGGCGGGGCGGGGCGGGGCGGGGCGGGGCGGGGGCGGGGCAGCGGCGGGGGCGGGGCAGCGGCGGGGGGGGGCGGGGGCGGGGCGGGGCGGGGGCGGGGCAGCGGCGGGGGCGGGGCGGGGCGGGGCAGCGGCGGGGGCGGGGCAGCGGCGGGGGCGGGGCAGCGGCGGGGGGCGGGGCGGGGCGGGGCAGCGGCGGGGGGCGGGGCGGGGCGGGGCAGCGGTGGGGGCGGGGCGGGGCAGCGGCGGGGGCGGGGCGGGGCAGCGGCGGGGCGGGGCGGCGGCGGGGCGGGGGCGGGGCAGCGGCGGGGGGGCGGGGCAGCGGCGGGGCAGGGGCGGGGGCGGGGCCGGGGCGGGGCCGGGCGGGGCAGCGGTGGGGGCGGGGCGGGGCAGCGGCCGGGCCGGGGCGGGGCCGGGCGGGGCAGCGGCGGGGCCGGGGCGGGGCAGCGGTGGGGGCGGGGCGGGGCAGCGGTGGGGGCGGGGCCGGGGCGGGGCAGCGGTGGGGGCGGGGCGGGGCCGGGGCCGGGCGGGGGGCGGGGCCGGGCGGGGCGGGGCAGCGGTGGGGGCGGGGCGGGGCGGGGCCGGGGCGGGGCAGGGCGGGGGCCGGGCGGGGCGGGGCAGGGCGGGGCCGGGGCCGGGCGGGGCCGGGCGGGGCCGGGCGGGGCGGCAGCAGCAGCAGCGACCTGGCCTGTGACCCGGCCGCGGCCCTTGCTTTAGGCTCAGGCGACGGTTTTGCTTTTTTTGCTCTACCCATCCTGTGGCGTGCCAGTCAGGAGTGGGCTCGGCCCTCCACACCTCCGTCTCCAGTGCAGGGGCTTGAGGCTGAGGGTCGTGGTCTCGGGGTGGGATGGGGTGGAGGCCTGTACCTCTCTGTGCCTCCAAACCAGGACCCAGAAGTCTGTGATGGTGCGTGCGGGGCTGGTCCTGAGTTGTTCAGTGTTGAGGTGAGCTTGCTGCATCGGCCAGGGCTCCAGAAGGGGCTGCCGTGGGCTCAGGCCGGGGCTTGGGGCACAGGCCCTCTTGTCTCCTAGCATCGGCAGGGGAGTCGGGACCCCCGAGGAGTCACGGGCCTCTTCTCATCCCCCTTTCCTGGGCCATGGCTCCTCAGGGCACCTCCCTGCCCCGGTGCCTTGGGGCTGACGCTGCCCCTCCACCCTCCCGCATCTGCACCTGAGCTGCCTGGCTCTGTGGGGGGGCTCCACGTAGCACCCTGCATCCTGCCACTCGGGGAGGAGCTCTGCCCTGTGCACAGGTCGGGAGGATGGGCGGCCGCCGGCCCCATCCGCCCCTGGCCACACACAGACCTGCCCGCCCGGCCCCACAGACGAGGCCTCACTCTGGCCGAGGACCGGGGGCCCTGCCTGGGGTCCAGGAGGGCCTGGCTCCCCTGCCCAGGACCACAGGGCCCATGTCTGCTGTACCCCCTTCCCTCCCCTGGGCTCCGGCCCTCCCCAGCTCTGTCAGGACCCCCTGGGGTCTTGGCTTGCAGGAACATGCTGGAAGGGCCTTTGCCAGACCCAGGCCACCAACTCTCACATCCCGCAGCTGCCTTGGAGGCCCCCCGGGAGGCCCACTGGGGTGGGGGGGAATGCGTGGGGTGTCCCCGGAGAGCCTGCCGACGCCAGGCCGGAGCAGGGCCAGAGCTGTGAAACGCTGTGGTGCCAAGTCGCCATGGCAACAGCTGGGGGGGGCAAGCGGGCTGGAGGCTGGCCCCCACACCTGTGCCCTGCGCTCCCGCCCTGGAGGGTCAGGCTGGCCACTACAGCAGCGGGGTGGGGGAGCCCCCCCTTCCCCAGCTGGAAGGCGGCCTCCCCAGCGGCGGCCGTCCCGGGGGCTCCTGCTAGCCACAGGCCGGCCTCCAGAGACCCCCGGTGGGAGCCTGAGCTGAGCCCCGCTTTCTCTAGGGCCTGTCCCCACGCCCCCACCAGGGCCCGTCTCCTCCCCATCAGTTCTCCAGGCTCCTCTCCAGGCCCTCTCTCAGGCCTCAGACAAGGCTGGGGGGGGGAGGGCGAGGGGCGCGGGGCGGGAGACCGTCTGGGTGGAGCCCCTCGGCCGACCCCCGTGCAGCAGCCTCTCGTGCTGGGGTGCCAGCCAGCCAGCGGCCGCACCCCGTGCTGGAGCACAGGGCAATAAAAGCGGACGTGGCTCTGGCAGTGGGGGCTGAGCTGGAGGAGTGGACCTGGGGCACCATTGGGGGGGTGGGGTTACAGAACCCCAAAAAAATGCTCCCGTGAAATCCCTCATGCTGTGTTTTTTCTTCTTGGCTGTTGAGCGTGAAGATGGCTCTGGGCGTCGGGCCTCTGTTGGGCTGGACCCTGGGACCGGGCAGGGTCCGGGGGGCCTGGGCCACGGGGGCAGGTGTGCCCCTCGCCCCGGACTCTGTGGCCCACCGCTTGCTCCTGCCTCCACGAGCTGGGCCCGACAGGAGGCCCACGCTTCCCCACCTCGTGGCCAGCACGCGCCTGGTGCAGGCTGCCCCGTGGCAGTGCTGGGAGAGGGCATCGGGGGCTCGGGAGACTGGCCAGCCCCGGCCAGGTCTAAGACAGGGCGAGTGGCCCCGTGGAGGCCAGCGCCGGCCAGGCTGGGGCGGCCGAGCGGCCCCCGGAGCCACTGACCCAGCTACTGACGCACGGGCCCCGATGACTCACATGTGCTGACCGTGACTCGAGTGGCCGTCTGGAGCCTCGCTCGGGCCTGGCCCGCCGTGGGGCCGCCCCCGGTCTGGGCCCGTCTGAGTAATGGGCCCTTCTACCCGCCCTCCTCCCAGGAGCCTTAGTCACCGGCCTGCCGCCCACCCACCCGCTTCGGGTGCCCGAAGGGCCTCAGCCTGGTATGGCCTGGTGGGTTCGCGGGTGTCACCCTGTGCCAGGGAGGCGAGGAAGGGCCGAGCTGCCTCCTCCTCCCTGCAGCCCCGGCAGGCCGTCTTCTGGGAGAGGGGACTGGCATCCCGGAGACCATTGTCCCCACAGGAAGCACAGGACCCTGTTCTCGACCCCCGGGCAGGGCTGGCATTGGGCCCTAGCGTTGCAGCCCATGGAGGGGGAGGGGGAGTGGCTGACCAGAGCTGGCTGGGCCCGAGACAGCCTGCTGGACCCCCAGCGGCTGCAGCCCCCGCTCCACCACACAGGGCCTGCGCTTGCTCTCATGCTGTGGGGGGTGGCGGGCACAGGCCCACGCTGGGACGCGGCCTGCTGACACGGGCGCCACTGGGTCCTCACCGCGGCCCACGGCCCCCACGCACGCACCGCTCCTACAGGCCACCGCTGCCACATGCCTACCACCCCCACAGGCCACTGCTGACAAGTGCCCGCCACTCCTCGCGCCCGGCTGCCTGGGTGCGGCGTGGGTGCGCCTGGTGCACAGCCCACTGTGCCAGGAGTGGCAGCTCGGCTCGGCTCCCTCCCGCTCCTTCCTCTCACCAGCACCTCACGGCTGGCTGTGGGCTGTCGGGTGAGCGCTCGCTGCTTGATGCCCTTTATGGGGGGCAGGTGCTGTGCACCCCTGACCCACGGAGCGGTGACACCCCGGCAGGGAGTCATTGCCCGTGAACATGCAGATGGGCACCCGGGCTGAGGGGTGAGTGGCCACACAGCCCCCAGGACCCCGCAAGCCACCGAGGAAGACGCGGCCAGCCAGGCCTGGCCAGGACCGGCGCCAGAGCCCAGGTGGCCTCGCAGCCGCAGCGCCCCAAGTGTGGCCTTTAGCGGAGAAGACCCGGCGTTGCTGGGCCACGGGCTGCGGGTCCCCGAGAAGCGGGCAGGTTGGAGGGGAGCGGCTGGTAGCTGCACTGTGACACATCTCCACGCTCCCTGCACCGGGACCCCGGCATCATCTGGGGTCTGCCTGGGCCTCTTCCCTGTTCCTGTTTTGATTGTGACTCTCAAACCTCGACTTCCTGGGTGGCAGGGGGACCCCTCCCCATACCCTCAGTGTGTGTGGGGGGGGGGGGCCAGGCTTTGCTCTGGCCCAGGCCAGGCTCCCAGCATGCACCGCAGCGGGCATGGCTGCCGGCTGTCGGAACTGCATTCTTGGCCCTCTCTGCAGGCAGGCACTGGTCCCAGGAATGGGAGGACGAGGCTCGGGCCTGGGAGAGAGCGCGTGTGCTGCGCTGCGCTGCCGGGGCCTGTGGGCTGTGCGCCCCTGCTCTGGGGGAGGGTCTGCTCAGGTCCCCCAAACCCAGGCAGCCTGGGCCGCGTCCTCACTGCCCGCATTGATGTTCAGGCAGCCTCGGGCCTTGGCTTGCTCTCAGTGCTGGGACCCAGGGCCGGGTGCCCTGCAGGCTGCACTCTGCACTAGCCGGCGACACCCTGTTGTGGGGTGCTTCCAAGCAGCGTCAACTGGCGTGGGCGAAGCCTGCCGCCTGGCCCTCACGCTCTCCTGTCTGCTGTTTTGCAGCCTGGCAGATAAGAACGGGATCCTGAAGCGCACGTTCTCGGCGCCAGGTCACAGTGCCAGCCTCCTGCAGGGCCTGGCCGCACTGCGGGCACAGGGCCAGCTCCTGGACATCGTGCTCACCATCAACAGAGAGGCCTTCCACGCGCACAAGGTGGTGCTGGCGGCCTGCAGCGACTACTTCCGGTGAGCCCTGGGCCGGGCTGGGGCCTTCGCTGGCCCTGCAGGAAGAACCTCAGGACTTTGTCCTCCCGAGCTGGATCTGAACTGTGATCCTCAGACCTCGGCCTCCTGAATTGCAGGGATTAGCTTGTTATTTTTACCATGTGAGACTGGATCCTACCTAGGCTAGCCTTGAGCTCCAGAGCCTCCTGCCTTTGCCTCCCTAGGGCAGAGTGCAGTCCCCCTGCAGACATCCTGCCGCCTTGGGCAGCGGTGAGGCAGGGCCGTGGCTGCTGGGAGTGGGGGGCCAGCGTGCTCCGGTGGTGGGTGTTGGTGGGTGCGGCTGCCACCCGTCTTCCACCTTGAAGTCTGACACCTGTGTGTGCCTGGTGCTGGACAGGTGTGTCCCACACGGCACGGCGGCGGGAGCCCCTTGCCGCAGTGGCAGAGTGGCCCTGGTGTTCCCGAGCCCCGGGGACCCCGTGCTCTGCTGATTGGGCATGCAGCCCCCTTATCCGTGTGGGTCGGGGGGGGGGGTGCCCAACATGGCCCACCCCTGAGAACACAGCCATCACCAGCTGGGCCAGAGGTGAGGGCCTTCAGCAGGGCTGGGTAGGCAGAGGCCACTCCCTTCCCTCCCGGCAGGCTGCCCCACCGAGGGGCCATCCGGCACCCTGTGAGCGCGGAGAGCAGCGGCCCTGCCAGCTGGGGCGCCGCTGCTATTTTTGTTCTGGACTTGGGGTGGGGGTGGGAGGCAGCCCAGCTGCAGAGCTCCTTCACCGCACCCCGTGCTGGCCCTGCAGGCTCGAAGCCTTAAAAGGCAAGGCTGCTACTCACCCCGGCCCCTTCTCTCCCCATCAGAACCAGGGGCCCCTGGGGACCGGCGGGACCGGCCGCCCTGGGGACCGTGGGGGTGCCCTGCCTCCTGCGAACCCCCCGTGTTTCCCACGCAGGGCCATGTTCACGGGCGGCATGCGGGAGGCCAGCCAGGATGTGGTGGAGCTGCAGGGTGTGACAGCCCGGGGGCTGCGGCACGTCATCGACTTTGCCTACAGCGCCGAGGTGACACTGGACCTGGAGTGCGTGCAGGACGTGCTCGGGGCCGCCGTGTTCCTGCAGGTGCTGCCCGTGGTGGAGCTGTGTGAGGACTTCCTGAAGGCCGCCATGAGCGTGGAGACCTGCCTGCTCATCGGCCAGATGGCCACGGCCTTCAGCCTGGCCTCACTGCGGGCCTCGGTGGACACCTTCACCTTCCGCCACTTCCTGCAGATCGCTGCCGAGGACGACTTCCTGCGTCTGCCGCTGGAGCGCCTGGTCTTCTTCCTGCAGAGCAACCGGCTGCAGAGCTGCGCGGAGATCGACCTGTTCCACGCGGCCGTGCGCTGGCTGGAGCACGACCCCGCGCGGCGGCCGCGCGCCAGCCACGTGCTGTGCCACATCCGCTTCCCGCTGATGCAGCCGGCCGAGCTGGTGGACAGCGTGCAGACGCTGGACGTCATGCTGGAGGACGTGCTGTGCCGCCAGTACCTGCTGGAGGCCTTCAGCTACCAGGTGCTGCCGCTGCGCCAGCACGAGCTGCAGTCTCCCCGCACGGCCCTGCGCTGCGACGCGCCCTCGCTGGTGGCCTTCGGCGGCACGCCCTACACCGACAGCGACCGTGCCGTCAGCAGCAAGGTGTTCCAGCTCCCCGAGCCGGGCGCCCGGCACTTCCGCGAGCTCACCGAGATGGAGGTGGGCTGCAGCCACTCGTGCGTGGCCGTGCTTGACAACTTCGTGTACGTGGCCGGCGGCCAGCAGCTGCAGTACCGCAGCGGGGAGGGCGCGGTGGACGCGTGCTACCGCTACGACCCGCACCGGAACCGCTGGCTGCGGCTGCAGGCCATGCAGGAGAGCCGCATCCAGTTCCAGCTGACCGTGCTGGGCGGCCTGGTATACGCCACGGGCGGCCGCAACCGCGCAGGCAGCCTGGCGTCCGTGGAGCGCTACTGCCCCCGGCGGGACGCCTGGGACTACGCCTGCTCCCTGAAGCGCCGCACCTGGGGCCACGCGGGCGCCGCCTCGGGGGGCCGCCTGTACATCTCGGGGGGCTACGGTGTGTCGGTTGAGGACAAGAAAGCCCTGCACTGCTACGACCCCACGGCCGACCAGTGGGAGTTCCGGGCCCCCATGAGCGAGCCCCGCGTGCTGCATGCCATGGTGGGCGCCGGCGGCCGCATCTACGCCCTGGGCGGCCGCATGGACCACGTGGACCGCTGCTTCGACGTGCTGGCCGTGGAGTACTACGTGCCCGAGGCCGACCAGTGGACCAGCGTGGCGCCCATGCGGGCCGGCCAGTCGGAGGCTGGCTGCTGCCTGCTGGACCGGAAGATCTACATCGTGGGGGGCTACAACTGGCGCCTCAACAACGTGACGGGCGTGGTGCAGGTGTACAACACGGAAACGGACGAGTGGGAGCGAGACCTGCACTTCCCAGAGTCCTTCGCGGGCATTGCCTGTGCCCCTGTCCTGCTGCCCCGGGCCGGGACCAGGAGGTAGCCCCGGGCCGGGCCGGGCCAGTCCTCATGACACCGCTCCCCAGGCCCGGCCCTGCAGACTGCTGCAGCCGGGGGCGCGGCCCGGCCCGGCCCGGCAGCAGGCCCCCAGCTCAGGACACGGGGCCACGGGCCGTCCTGAATGCTCGCTACCCCACCCCACCGGCCCTGCCCGACACTCAGGCAGGACCCCGTCACACTGCGCCCAGAGTGGGGTGCACCGCCATCCTCCGTGACCCCAGGGGCCTGATCCCCCTCTGCTCACAGCCCCGTCCCGGGCCCCCGCTCTGCACCCACCCCTCCCCTCCTCCCGCTGCTCCCAGGGTCTGCCGCCCGCTGAGCATGGATGCCCGGACACCTCCTGCAGGCCCGGGCCGGGATTACCACCACGCAGCCCCACCTGGACCCCGCTCTCCGCATGAGCCCCCCTCCCAGCACCCCCGTGGGCTGCGCAGGGCTTTGGGCCCTATTTGTTTTGCTGCCGCAGCCTCAGCCTCATTTTCTTGTCCTTTTTCTTTCTGGAGCAAGCCCACAGGACTCTCTTTGTCTTCTAAGTGACATTTGTCCTTTTGGGGACCGAGTGTCTCCTGCACTGCAAGCATACCACAGAGGCAGCGTCCGTGCTCCGTCTGCTGCCCGGTGACCCTACCCCCGCCCCGCCCCTCTCCTGAATAAAGATGTGACATGGATATGCAGGCCGGGGCACCAGCCAGGGTGGTCAGCGTCTGCGTGGGCCTGCCGGCCCTCAGCCTCAAGGGGGCACTGCCTGGGGCCTGCTGGCTGTGTGTGTGCGCGCGTGCGCGCGCATGCACAAGTCCACCATTAGTCTGGGCTTTGCCTTTTCCTGCTCAGACCCCAGCCCTGGGGTGCAGTGCCTGGAGCCCTGCCACCCGTGTGGCCACCGGGTTCTGCAGGCCGCTGCCCGCGCTCAGAGCCTGGCCCCCCCACCTGGCCGGCCAGGGCGCGGCCGTCAGCTCACACCTCGGAACATCTTGTCCCCAGCGAGCTGGCAGGGGTGCGGGGAGGGCGGCCAGCCCTGATGCTGGAATGTTCTCTGGGGCCCAGCCCCTCCTGCGCCCCCACCCCAGCCCCGGAAGGGAGGAAAATGATTTTTTTGCACTGTAAATGCGAAACTGGGGAAAGCTGTTTCTAATTTAGCAGGAACTGGCTCACGGCCTGCTGCATGGCCTTGGCCGGCAGGCCAGCGGGCATGCGCACATCCCCGGCCCACCTGTGCGCGCGCACAGCGTGCACGGCTCAAACCTCCAGGCCCATGGTGTGGATGGTGCCCCGTCCAGCCCGCCCCACACCTGGGCCCAGCTGTGGAGGGCTCCGGAGCTGGGGACACCCCGAACACCCCTCACCTGAGCCCGGCCGGCCCTATCCCCAACCCCAGCAGCTCCTGACCCAGCAGTGTTTCAGTCCCGGGCAAGGGTCCTGGGCCTGGCTGGGCTGAACGGCCCCCACTGCTTCCCACCATGGGGAGCAAGGCCCACCCATGTCCCGGCCCTGCACCCCCACAGAGGCTCCCCATGCCATGGGTTGGGTATTCAGGGACAAATGTGAGGTCCTCGGGCTCCCCCATCACCGCGGCCAGGCGCCTGGGTGCTGGGAGCCAGCACTCCAGCAGCTGGGCCCGCCCCGTCACTGAGCCCAGCACCCACCCCGTCCGCAGGCCACCTCGCTCTGCACTGCCGGCCTGCCGGCAGAAAACTAAGTGGGTGCTAACAGCGGTTGGCTCCTCAAGCCTCGGATCAGGATTGGGGGGCTGAGGCCATCCCGTGCTGCACACCCTGGTCTTCCTCAAATCAAAGGCTGAGACCAGGGGCATCGTGATTCCAGCCCAGCCCAGGGAATGCGGTCAGGCCGACCCCACGTCCACCAGGAGCTGGGCATGGTGCTTCACGGTCCAGGCAGATAGTAGAACAGGCTTTCTGAAAGGAAGGCAAAAGAGCTGGAGGTGTGGCTCAAATGGTAGAGCACCTAGCATATAACCGTGAGTTCATACCCCACACAAAACGAAAGCGAGCGAGAAAGGTCCTGGGGGGAGGGGGGCGTCACGCTGCAGGCTGGGCGGGTCCTGGGCGGACGTCCCTTGGAACTGGTGACTCGGTTGCTGCTTCCTGGGGTGGCTGGCCCCTGGCGTCCAGCTGCCCGCGCCAGCCTCCAGCGCCCTCCCCTGTGCGCCGCGCCTTGCCCGATCCCCCAGCAAGCCTGGGCGGGAGGCCAGGGTCTGCGTTTTTTCACTGGGGTGCCTGGCTAGACCCCAGCCTGCATGCGTGCATTATGGGTCTCCGCGGGTCCCTCCGCCCTTGGCTGGCCCTGGTTTAGAACCAAAGTGCCGTCCTGGGTCTTCCTCTCTGCCCCAGTGGCCCAGGCTCACCCCTCTGCCGGGAGGTACCCCAAATAGCCTGAGATCCCTTATAAGGAAGAGCTAGGGAACGGAGCGACGCGCGCTTTGGTTTGCTTGGCAGTCAGGAGCATTTGTGTGGAAGGGGATGCCAGCCCGAGGGCTCTTCACACTTAACCTTTCTACGCCTGCTGCAGTACCACCACCCGACTCTGGGAGCACAGCCTGGCCCAGAGAGACCAAGACACTTTCTCAGGCTCCACAGTCATACACCGGAGCTTAGGGTTTTGTCTGCCTTAAGAGATCTGGTGAGGCCTGAAGGCTGGAGAAAGGGCATGGGGGAGGCAACGCCTGTTGTATAGAGTGAGGAGGAGGCCAGGGTAGGAGATGGTGTGGAAGTTTCTAGGCAGCAGCAGAGGCAGAGAGCAGGCACAGAAGCCATGGATGGAAGATGGATCCCAGAGGCCCTGATTGTGAATCAGGGCCAGCCAGACCTGGATCCAGACTGGGGGAGCTCAGAACACCTTGGGGTGATCACCATGGGGCCTTCTGGAGGAGGGCCCTCTAGAGAGGGTTTTGAGAGACAAGCGGGAGTTTTCCAGGCTGAAAGTCAGCTACACTCCTAGGCTAGCCCTATGCCCGCAGTCATTAGCTCTGGAGACCTCAGCAAAGTGCGGGGCTGTGTCAGGCCCGCGCAGGCGCCCGGCAGCCTCATGCGCAGGGCCTCTCCTGGGTTCTGGAGACGGTCTCCCTTGCGCCCGGGAGCCCGTGGCCCGGCCTCCGCCCCGGCGCGGGCGGGCGGCCTCCTCCCGGGCCCGGGCCTGGCACAGGGCCCGCGCGGGCGGCCTCCTCCCGGGCCCGGGCCTGGCACAGGGCCCGCGCGCGCGGCCTCCTCCCGGGCCTGACACAGGGCCCGCGCGCGCGGCCTCCTCCCGGGCCTGACACAGGGCCCGCGCGCGCGGCCTCCTCCCGGGCCTGACACAGGGCCCGCGCGGGCGGCCTCCTCCCGGGCCTGACACAGGGCCCGCGCGCGCGGCCTCCGCCCCGGTCCAGGCCTGACACAGGGCCCGCGCGCGCGGCCTCCTCCCGGGCCTGACACAGGGCCCGCGCGCGCGGCCTCCGCTCTGCCCTCGCCGGCCTCGGCCCCCCGGCCTGGGCTCTGTCCCTTGGCGTTTGTCGGGCCGGACGCCCGCTCCGTCCTCCGTGGCCTCCTCGCCGCCATCTCCTCCCGCGCCCAGGTCCGCGGCCGGGCGGCCCCGCCGGCTGTGCGGAGCGCAGGTGCCCGGCCCGCACGCGTCCTCCTCGGCGGCCGGGGGACGGAGGAGGAGGCGGGCCCGGGGGCGGAGCGGCCTCGGGGCGTCCGCGGACCTGGCCCGACCGCCCGGCGGCCGCTGTCCAGCGGGGCGGACGGCTCGCCAGTGCGCATGCGCCCAGCCATCCTCTCCTCCGCCCCCTCCCCTGGCGGCGGGAGGGATGGGAGGGGTGCCCGAAGCGCATCGCGCGCATGCGCATCGCGCGCCACGGCGCGCCGCTCCCACGCGCTTGCGCCGCGCTCCCTGCCACCGGCGCAAGCGCACCGCGCACCGCCCGCGGTCCCGGCCGGCGCGTGCGCCTTGAGGCGGCGAGTGGGGGGGGGGCGGGAGGAGGAGGAGGAGGAGGCGGCGGCGAGAAGATGGCGACTTCCAACAATCCGCGAAAATTCAGTGAGAAGATCGCGCTGCACAATCAGAAGCAGGCGGAGGAGACGGCGGCCTTCGAGGAGGTCATGAAGGACCTGAGCCTGACGCGGGCGGCGCGGGTGAGGCGGCCGCACGCGCCGACCCCGGGGCCGCGCGCGGGAGGGAGGGGCGCGTGCGCGGGCGGGGGCGCGCGCGGGGGGGCGTGCGCGTGCGCGGGCGGGGCGCGCGCGGGGGCGGGGTCGGCGCGGCCCGCGGCCGTGCGGGGTCCCCCGCGCCCCGGGCGTCGTGGGCGGGACCGGCCCCGGCGGCGGCGGCGGGGGCGGCGCGGGGCCCCGCACGGCCGCTCCGGGAGGCCCGGGCCGCCCGCCGCCGCCGGCGCGAGCAGGTGCGCGCCGCCCGGGCCCGAGCGGCCGCCGCCCGCCACGTGCGGAGCCGCGGGCGCCGCCAGGTGTGGGAGCCGCGGGCCGCGCCGACGCCGGGACGGACGGACGGACGGACGGACGGCCCGTCACCCGAGGGTCGGTGTCCGTCCCGTCACCCGAGGGTCGGTGTCCGTCCCGCCACCCGAGGGTCGGTGTCCGTCCCGCCACCCGAGGGTCGGTGTCCGTCCCGCCACCCGAGGGTCGGTGTCCGTCCCGCCACCCGAGGGTCGGTGTCCATCCCGCCACCCGAGGGTCGGTGTCCGTCCCGCCACCCGAGGGTCGGTGTATGTCCCGTCACCCGAGGGTCGGTGTCCGTCCCGCCACCCGAGGGTCGGTGTATGTCCCGTCACCCGAGGGTCGGTGTCCGTCCCGTCACCCGAGGGTCGGTGTCCGTCCCGCCACCCGAGGGTCGGTGTCCGTCCCGTCACCGTCACCCGAGGGTCGGTGTCCGTCCCGTCACCCGAGGGGTCGGTGTCCGTCCCGCCACCCGAGGGTCGGTGTCCGTCCCGTCACCCGAGGGTCGGTGTCCGTCCCGCCACCCGAGGGTCGGTGTATGTCCTGTCACCCGAGGGTCAGTGTCCGTCCCGCCACCTGAGGGGAATGGTTGGTCCCCATCCCTGTCACCTGAGGGGACAGGGGTTCTCCCTCTCTGCTGAAGGTGCCGGCTGTGTAAGTCATTGGTACCTGTGACCTCTTGAGTGTCACAGGTGTAGGTAGCCTAAGTACCTCTTCCTCCACAGCCCTGCGTGTCCCTCCCCGGGGTGGGGGGTGCTGAGGCTGTGTCCCAGCCTGCAAGCAGGCCGGAATGCCGAGGACCCCGGTGGGCTCCTCCCAGCAGGACAGGACAGCCGGCCCCAGGGCCAGGGTGACACGTCACTGTGGTACGGGAGGCCTTCGTTTCTGTCCTGTCTTCAGCACCAGCCACTGCCTGCCGTGGCCACTGCCAGCCCTGTGCGTGGCTCTGCGGGAGGGCAGCTGGCGGGGGAGAGCATGAACAAGGGATTCACGCTAGGGCTCCCCAAGTGCCATGCACAGGTCAGGGAAACTGAGACAAGGTGTCCGCTCACCACACCTACTGAGTGCTGCCCACCACGTAGTGGGTTCAGATGTGGTGTGGCTGGGCGGCTGGCCCAGCTGGAGGTCTGGTTTCTTCATGGGGCCGGCAGTGGGGTATGGTTGGCACAATTGGTGTTGTCAGCGTGGAGCTTACTACTCTGTGCCCTGCGGTCACTGCCTCTGCCCAGCACATTTCTGGCCCCACGGAAGGAGACCTTCCACGGCCCTAGCCTTTGGCAGCCACTGACCCACGTCTTGTGTCTGGATTTGTCATTCTGGGTCCATTACCTCAGATTCCCACACCACCAGGCCACTATGCCCGCTTTGGTCACTCACCAGCGTGGTTGTGTTCATCCACCTTGTCTTCTTTTCTTTTCTTTCTTTCTTCCTTTCTTTTTTGGTTGGTTGTAGGGCCTGAACTCTGGGCTTGGGCGCTGTCCCTCAGCTCTTTAGCTCAAGGCGGGCACTCTACCACTTGAGCCACAGCACCACTTCCGGTTTTCTGGTGGTTTATTGGAGATAAGAGTCTGGTCTTGCAGACTTTCCTGCCTGGGTTGGCTTTGAACCACAATCCTCAAATCTCAGCCTCCTGAGTAGCTGGGATGACAGGCGTGCGCTGCCGGCGCTCCCTTTCTTTATTCCTTTTCATGACTGTGCACTGTTCTTTCCAGTAGACTTGTCAAATTTGTGGTTTTCTTTTTTCTGTTTCTTTTGGTGCCCATCCTGGAGCTTGAACTTGGGGTCCAGGTGCTGTTCTTGGGCTTTTTCACTCATGGCTAGCACTCTGTCACTTGAGCCACAGCAACCACGTCTGGCTCTTTGGTGGTTCATTGGAGCTAAGAGTCTCACAGATCTTCCTGCCTAGGCTGGCTTTGAACCACAATCCTCAGATCTCAGCCTCCTGGTTAGCCAGGGTTATAGACGTGAGCCACCAGGGCCTGTCTTCTCCGATTGTTTTTGCAGTTTATTTTCTGTGGGCTCAGTCACATGGATGGAAAGCCCTGGGAATGAGAATCCCCATGTTGGGACGTGGGCAGGCTTTTCCCCAGCTTGTGGTGTTATTGAACTGCTGTGGACAGGGCTCGGAACACAGCTACTTGGGGTCTCCAGGTGGGCAGTGTGGTGAGCAAGGGTGGCTTAGGTGTGCCAGAGAATTGGGGACGGGGTGGGAGGAGAGGAGGGTGTCACCGCTGGCCAGTGTCTCAGGACACGGGCTCCTTCAGCGACTGGACAGAAAAGAGCCAGAGTCGGCCTGGGGTGGTGACGATCCCTGTAGTCCTGGCAGTTGGGAGGCAGGCTCGGGAGGATCGTTGGAGCCAGCCAGGCCCTGGGCAGCGGACACAGCACCGGGGTCCACACCGCAGCCGGAGGCCGCCTGTCCTGGCCAACCGCGGTGCTGGCAGCATCCACCTCCCCGCCCGCTGCCTGCAATCTGGTGCCATCTGCAGCCTGCTGGCAAAGCTCTGTGTGTGTGCTAGGCCTGGGGCACGAACTCAAGGCCTGGGCGCTGTCCCTGAGCTTGTATAATCAAGACTCTACTCCTGGAGCCACAGCTTTTGGTGGCTAATCAGAGATAAGAGCCTTTTGAACTTTCTTGCCTGGGCTGGCTTCAGACCATGATCCTCAGACCTCAGCCTCTCCTGAGTCAGTGGCAAGAGCCACTGGCTCCCAGCACACAGTTGTATTTGAACCCCGGGCTGTGCCCTGCCTGGGCTGAGCAGGGCTGGGCTTTGCCTGTGAAGGGAGCTGGCGAGCTAGGGCCCGGGCTGGCCTCACTGGTCCAGCACGGGGCCTGTCACCTTGCCACAGGTCTCCGTGGATGCCTACAAGGATGGTTTGGTGAGGGCTGGGAGGGAGGCTCCAGCCGGGACCCCCATGGTGGGTGTTCCAAGGTTTGGGTGAGGTCTGAGTACCTAGGGTGGGGTCGGGTGGAGGCCTGGGCGTGGCTGGCCACGCTCCTTCACCCCGGCAGGGCCTGGGCGGCAACTACCAGGTGGTGCCCGGTGAGCCCTGGCCTCGGACCACAGGCGGATGGAGACGTGTGGGGCTGTCTCTGCCTCCGCGTCCTTGGGGAGATTTCTGGGCCCCCCAGTGGGGCCTGGCCGGATGGGGGCCCAGGTGTGCAAACACGGAAGCCACCGCCCCCCAGGCCAGGGCCAAGTGCCTGGAGAGTCAATATTGACAGTTTGCCCTGGACAGAGGAAGTGGCAGCACCAGGGCAGGGTGGGGCGGGGCCTACGTGGGTGTGGTGGGGCCCGTTGGTACCCAAGACGCCAAGGCCCCGCCCACTGCCCCTCCTACCCCCAGCCCGGCCCCTCCAAGAAGAGAGAAGATGCCAAGGCCCCGCCCACTGCCCCTCCTACCCCCAGCCCCGCCCCTCTAAGTAGAGAGCCAGGGCCTGGCTGGCTTAATGCATTTTTGGTTTTCTTAGGTGTCACTAGAGGTGCCATCTTATTTCCTGACTCCCCCCCCCCCCCCCCCCCCCGTTTCAATGGGGCACAGTTCCAGTCCTGTCTCCACCCCCACCATAGGTGCCAAGACGCCCTGAAGTGTGTCTCTCTCTCTTTTTTTTTTTTGTCAGTCATAGGGCTTGAACTCTGGACCTGAGCCCTGTCCCTCAGCTCTTCAGCTCAAGGCCAGCGCTCTACCACTTGAGTCACAGCGCCACTTCTGGTTTTTTGGTGATTAATTGGAGATAAGAATCTCTCAGGCAGGGGCTGGGAAGGTGGCTCAGTGGTAGAGCGCTTGCCTTGCATGCCTGAGGCCCTGGGTTCAATTCCTCAGCACCACATAAGCAAAAAGAAAAAAGCCGGAAGTGGCGCTGTGCTCAAGTGGTAGAGCGCTAGCCTTGAGCTGAAGAGCTGAGGGACAGCGCCCAGGCCCAGAGTTCAGGCCCCACGACCCGACCCAAAAAAAAAAAAAAAAGAATCTCTCAGGCTTCCTGCCCAGGTTGGCTTTGTACTGCAATCCTCAGGTGTCAGCCTCCTGAGTAGCCACCGGTACCCGACTGAGGCGTCCTTTTGTGGGTGCCGGTCCTGGGGCTTGAACTCAGGACCTAGACTCCATCCCTGAGCTATTTCACTAAGACTGGTGCTCTACCACTTGAACCATGGCTCCACTTTGCACTTTTTTGTGGTTAGAGATTAGAGCTTGAATTACAACTTTCAGATTTCAGCCTGTTAGGAGCAAGGATTACAAGCGTGTGTCCCCAGCACTTGCAGGGGTATCTTTCTGGAACTTGCTCAGACTGTGCCAGTCGGCCCATGTCCTGACAGGTGGCCAGGCTGGAGGCCTGGACCAGAGGCCACAGCTGGACCCCTAGCTCCTGGAGGAAGAACGAGAGCCGTTGCAGGGGCTTCCCAGAGTCGCCTGGGCCCCGCCACCCCCGCATAGGGGCTTGTGGGTCCCAGCCGTGAGGCTGGCGGAGGCCCCCGGTCACTGCTCTGCGCTGGGCGTCTGAGCGCAGTGAGACTGTGGTCCACCTTGGGGACAGGAGGAGCCGTGGGGAGGTGGGCCCGGGGTGTGCATCCAGCAGGGATGCCACTGGCTGCATGCGTGTGGTTGGCAGGACAGCAGCAGGGCTGGGCAGGCCGTGCCCAGGGTACCCTGGGGCAAATCCCGTTACTGCAGCCCGTGGGGAG